AAAAAGGGGATAAAATAAGAATATATGTTTGAATTTGCATATACTTGTGTGGGGAAGGTATGGTTCACGGGTCAGAAAGGGAACAGAAGTGGAAAAGGAGACTTTTCACTGTATTCCTTTTTATGTTTTTGATCTTAAAACCACATGAATGGGCCAGCCAGTATAGACTTGAGAAAAGAGACCGTGACCAAGACAAATACAAGCACCTTTTCTCTTCCTTCTCCTAGATTTCAACTTAAGTGTCACCTCCACAAAGCGGCCTCCCCTGACAACCCTACCTAAAGGAGAGGTCTCCTCTGACAGTTTCCTTCACAACATTTTCTACAATTACTGTTTTGTTTCTTTACTTATATTTGTCTGTATTCCCTATTAACTCATAAATTCCTTGAGATTAAGACATGATGGGCTATCTTCTTAAAACCTAGGACAGTGTCCAGCACATAACAGGTTAACAAATACTGGTTCTGTGAGGGCAGGGACCACAGCCAATTTTCTTCATTGTGATGTCAATAGCTAAAATAGTGTCTGGTACGTGGCATGTGCTCAAAAATATTCATGAATGAGTAAATATAATTTAATCCCTGCAATTGGCAGTTGAGAACACTGAGGCTCCGGAAGGAAGCTGGTCAGCCCAAGGTGTCACGAGCTGGGACAAGAGCTCTGACTGCCATTCTGCTGTACTGAGGAGGCTGAGAACTAAAGCAGTTATCTTCTGCGGTGGCAGAAAGACAGACCAGATAGATAACTCATTCTGGTAAGATAAGCATGTTAGTGGAAATACACATAAAAACACTTGAGAAGGAAGAGAAAAAGAATAAACACCCTACTTATGCAAAAGGCCATTTTGCACTACTACAAATAAAGCTACAAATATTCATATGTGGACATTTACTGTCATTTCTTGCAGACATATTCTTTCATTCCACCAAGAAAAGGAATGGCTGGATCGTATGGATGGCAGATATACATATAACCTTTAAGAAATTGCCAAATCATCTTACAAAGTGGTTGTGACTTTTCACATTCCCATTATTAGTGTATGAAAGTTCCAGTTCCTCTACATCCTAGCCAAAACCTGCTATGGTCAGTCTAATTTTAGCCATTCTAGTGGGTATGTTTTGCAATCTCATTGTGGTTTTAATTTGCATTTCACTAAACACTAACCATGAGTGTTACTTAATGTGCTTATTTGCCATCCATATATCTTCTTTGGTGAAGTGTTTGTTCAAATCTTTTGCCCACTTTTTAATTGGGTTATAGGTCTTATTACTGAGTTATAAGAGGCTTTTTTTTCCCAATTATTATTATTATTCTAGATACAAGTTCCTTGTTTGATATACGTTTTACAAATATCTTCTCCACATCTTTGGTTTGTCTTTTCATTTTCTTAACAGTGCATTTTGAAAGGTGAGTTTTTAATTTTGCTGAACCCCAACTGACTTTTTTATTTGTTGTTTGTACTTATTGTGCTGTATTTAAGAAATTCTTACCACGGGGCCGGCCCGGTGGCGCACTGGATAGTGCGCCGCTTGGGAAGCGCGGCGGCGCTCCCGTCCGAGGGTTCGGATCCCACATACAGACCGGCTCCCGCTCACTGGCTGAGCGAGGCGCGGGAGCAACACCGAGGCTTGCGATCCCGTTGCCGGTCCCCGGTCCGGTACGGGGGCAACACTGAGGGTTGCGATCCGTTGCCGGACACGGAAAAAAGACAAAAGACAAAAAAATATTAAAAAAAAAAAAGAAAGAAAGAAATTCTTACCAAAATCAAAGTCTCTAAGATTTTTTCCTGCATTTTCTTCTAGATGTTTTATAATTCGAGCTTTTACATTTAGGTCTTAGCCAATTTTGAGTTATTTTTGTATACAGTAGGAGGTAAGAGTTGAAGTTCATTTATTTGCATGGCTATCAAATTGCCTTAGTATCTTTTTTGGAAAGATTACCCCTTCCTCAAAAATGCCTTGGGCAAAAATCAATTGAACACATGTGTCTATTTTTGTACTCTGTTAATACATGTCTATCTATATACCAGTATCACACATGCTGTACTGATTACTGTAGCTTTATAGGATTAAGTCACGAAATCAGGTAGCATGATTCCCTCAACTTTCTTCTTTTTGTGAGTTGTTTTGACTATTTGTCTTTTGCCTTAAACTTTTAAATTTTAGAATAAGCTTGATATTATCTGAAAGGCCAAAAAAACCTGTTGATATTCTGATTGAGACCAGAATCTGTTCAACATTTTGAGGAGACATGGCATCATAACAGTATTGAGTTTTCTGATCCATGAACACAGTATATCTTTCCATTTATTTAGGTCTTTTTAAATTTCTCGCAGTGATGTTTACAGTTTTCAGTGTAAAAGCCTTACATCTCTATCAAATGTATCCTAAATATTTCATGTTTTTTGATGCTGCCATAAATTTTTTTTCAGTTTGCAACTATCATATATTGCTAGTAACTGGAAATACAATTGATTTGTATATAATGATCTTGTATCCGACAAACTTGCTAAGTTCAGCTTATTAGTTCTGGTAGCGTTTTTTATAGATTTTATAGGATTTTCTAGATAGACAATCATGTTGCATGTGAATAATGACAGTGTTACTTCTTCCTTTCTAATAGGGATGCCTTTTATTTCTTTTTCTTGATTTAACGAACTAGCTAGAACTCCAGGGCAATGTTGAATAGATGTGATAAAGAGCAGACACCCCTGCCTGGTTCCTAATCTTAGAAGAAAAGTACTCAGTCTTTCACCGTTACGTAGGATGTTAGGTGTCAGTTTTTCATAAATACCCTTAATCAGGCAGAGGAAGTTCCTTTCTAACCTAGTGTGCCAAGAGTGTTTAGCAGGAATGGATTTTGTATTTTGTCTTCATCTATTAAAATAATCATATGGTTTTCTTTTCTTAATCAATACATTGATATGATGAATTACACTGTTTTTTTAATGGAGCCAGCCTTGCAAACCCCACAGGGTCGTGATGCATTATCCTTTTAAATACTGTTGTATTTGATCTGCTAAAATTTGGTTAAGAATTTTTACATGCCTAGGGCTGGCCGGTTGGCTCAGTTGGTTAGAGTGTGGTGTTGGTAACACCAACGTCAAGGAAGGGTTCAGATACCTATACTGGCCAGACGCCACCCTCCCCAACCAAAAACAAAGAATTTTTACATCCCAATTCATGATGGATACTGACTGGCTAGTAGCTTTATTTTCTTCTAATGACTTTTTTTGATTTTGGTATCTGAGTAAAAATGGCCTCAGAGAATGAGCTGAGAAACATTCCCTCCTCTTTAATTTTCTGGAAAAATTTCCATAGAATTGGGATTATTTCTCCTCTATTATACAGCAGATTTATTAGTGAAGCCATCTCGGCCTGGAGTTTTCTTTGTGAAAATGTGTTTTAACTACAATTCATTTTAAAATACAGAATTGTTCAGGTTATTTATTTCTTTTTTACTGAGTTTCGGCAGTTTGGGTCTTTCAAGGAATTTGTCCACATATCTAGGATAACGTATTGACTGGCATGAAATTGTTAAAAATATTCCCTTATTATTCTTTTAATATCTGTAGAGAATCTGTAGTGATGTAACAACTCTCACTCTTGATACTAGTAACTTGTATATTTTCTCTCTCTCTTTTTTTTCTCCTTATCGGTCCAGCTAGGGCTTTCTCAATTTTATTGATCTCAAAGAACCAACTTAGG